TTTTTGGGGTTAATGGTGGTGCATCTTTTTAATATTTCAAAAGTTTTGGAGCTGTAGGTCACCAACTTGACACAAAGGTCAACAGATCAAGGTTATAAAGTTAAAGAAGGACAACAGAGGAGTTACAACACCTTTAAGGACTCAATGGAATCATTGAAAAGGAGAATACAGTAGTCCCTCGATACTTCATGGTTCGACTTTTACGGACTCACTCTTTCGCGGGTTTTCAATGTAAGATTGTACACATTGTTTCCCGGTGGCCTGGCCGCTCAGTGATCCCTCCTTTCTCTTTCTGAGGCTGTCAGGTTCAGAAAGAGAAAGGAGGGGGCGGGGGTTGGGGTCTGTTTTTCCCCAACATTGCTGTGGGAGCTTCAGTGAGGCGGATGCTGGAGTGAATGGCATGGATTGTTTATTTAGAATAATCAAGCGTGACCTGAACCGAGCCAAACTGAATCGAGGTGATCCCGATGGCCAGTCTACCCCCAGGCGATGATTGGCTCAGTAACCGTAGCATCAGTCTGTTTGCTCTCTTTCTCTGTGCTCTTTTAGAGCATTTAAAGAGTTTAGAACATTGCAAGAGAGTGGAAAGAGTTTGTAAAGCCTTAAAGTATATATATATATATAAAATCTAAAATAAATTTAACGTCCCTACGTCGTGGATTTTCACCTGTCGCAAGGGTGTCTGGAATGTAACCCCAGCGATAAGCGAGGGACTACTGAATACATTTTTTAGAATGGCATTTGATTTATTTGCTTTCCTATAATTCTATTTTAGCTTATTTTATTTTATTGGTTTTATTTTCTTTTTGTCTTTATATGATTTGAATGTGATTTTTTTTTTTTATCTTAAAAGTCTCTTTCTGTTATCTCAGTTTTCCATACAAGCAGCCTCTGTTGACGCTACAGACCATCTCACCAGCATTTCTCAATGCAGAGATGTAGCTGGACTGTTCAGCAGATTTTAGATGTTTTTTATTTTTATTTTAATGATGCAAACAGAAGGAGGTGGAGAAGAGGTTAGCTCTGTAACTGCAGCAGCAGAGTCATGCTGCGCTCCTTACCGAGTCCCAGTTTGACAATAAAGGATCTTCATCCTGCCAGCCTGGGCTCAGAAGATCTGAAATGGTTTTGTAACAAGGTGCAGTTTTAAAGACATTTATATCTACTGTGTGTATATTAAACTGACAAACTTTATCCCAAACAGGGACATTTTTAAGATACAACAAATGAACAGAAATGTAAACATAAGCTGAAAAATAAGAGAAGAATTGCGTCTCCTGTTCTAAAATAATCAAGCTAAAGTAACTACCGTATTTTCCAGTGTATAAGACACAGTTTTATGCATAGATTTGTCAGTCCTGCGACTTATACACCCAAGCGACTTATATACGTTTTTTTTTCCATATTCATAACGCAATTTTTGACTGACGCTTTAAATTTCTAAAAACTGCAACAGCGAGTCCTCCCATGCGCGCTCGCTTCACTCAGCTGGTGCAGGCGGAGGAACACTGGAGAGCTAGCGGCTCCGGATGGATGGATGGTGCTGCGCCGCCCAGGTGGAATGAAGCTGTTTTGACCATTAAAGAGCATTTATTAACGAAAAGTTAAACTGAGGAACACCTTTGCTATAATGTCGAGCAACAAAACAATTGTTTTTAAGTGTTAATCTTGTTAAATTTCTAAGAACTGCAACAGCAAGGCGGAAGAACGCTGGAGAGCTAGCGACTCTGGCCGCGATGGATGGATGGCGCAGCACACCCCTGGTGAAATGAAGCTGTTTTGACCATTAGATAAACGCATAAATGCGACGGGTCAGCGGTGACGCATCATAAATGTGACTTATACACCGATATGTTTTTGATTCCTCTTCATGATGCTTTTTTTGACTGATGCGACTTAAACTCTGGAGCAATTTATATGCTGGAAAACATGGTAATCTGAATAGATTTTAGTTGTTTATGATTGAACCCTTTTATAAAAAAGGATTGGAATTTAGAAGAAAGGTACACCAACTGGGCACAATTAAATCTAGACAGCTGAAGATTAATGCATCAGACAGGTAAGACAGTTATTACAGTTTTCCAAAGCAGCCTTCGTCACACAACAAAAGCAGAAACTTAAAACACAATATTCTAGGATTTTATTCCTGTGGTTAACAAGAGAAATGTCTGAGTAATATGAGAAACTAGATTTAATCAATTTTGTTTTACGTCATGTTATAAAAGTCAGCCGATGCAAACGATTACACGACACATTTTACATTTTTTCTACTCTCATTGAAAATGGTGTAACTGTGGTGTAAGAAATTATCCTCAGGCTGAAGTCAATCACATTCTAACAACACCTCTGGCTAAAAAAACTTTACGTTTGAGGTCTCACCTAAACGGCAACATGAAACATTAATTATTAGTACTCTTCAAATTCACTACAGTTTAACGGTGCAGCAGTAAGTTGAATCAAAATCTTCACTTTTTTGTCCTGATTTGTTGAAAAACAAACTTCTTGTAGAACTCTGCGATCTCTGTGCTTTACTATTGACAATTTTTGAAAACACTATTAAATATAAATATCAAATGACTCGGTTTTTGTAAGACTTGCTGTCAGTTTCCACCCAAGGGCAGATGGGGGCTAAAATGTCATCACACTATCTGCTTGTAAATTAATGTATGCATTATAAGTTGGATTTAAAGATCACAAACAACAAATAAATAAATAAAAACTTATCTGAAGATCGCTCTGTTATGGTCTCACCTGCACACTTGGTTCTGGCTCTCAGAGGGGGGCCAGGAGCTCCGGTCCCTCCCTCCAGAGGTCTGGTCAGCAGAACACTGATCTCGTACTCGGTGTCTGGATCCAGGTGGCCGATCTTGTGTGTGGTCTTGTCTACGGGCTGCAGGTCATACATGGTCCCCGATACCGTACGGTACTCCACCTGTCGGTCAATGATTGGTCCATCCCCATTAATGGAGTTGGCGTTCAGCTGGATCCAAAGGTAGGTTGCTCCGACAGCAGTCAGCTGTGGGGGTGCAATAGGAACTGGAGGCTCTGGGAAAATAAAACAAACTATGATGGAGAAGCTCTTTCAAACAATCAACCAGATCAAAATTATCTTCAAGCTCACAAAGAACATCATACCCACTATAATTAAGATGTTTAAGAAGAGCCAATCAGTAGTTACAACTTAATGAACTGAATATATCTTTATCAGCAGTACACAGATGGCTCTACACAATTTTATAACGAGACAACTTGAAAAAGACGCGTAAGGCCAGTCAGACCTTGGCAAGCGCTGATCCCATTGAACAAAGTATTGATTTCAACCAGAAGGGTCCCATTGAAACATTCCAGGCGACTGACAACACTGTATTTGCCATCTCTATTGTCAGTGACGGTGCTGGTTTAATTTCTCATCTCATGACTGATTGTGAATTTTATTATTCCGTTTAAATGGACTGATGTGATAATAAACACAAACTCAAGTGTTTCTTTGAAAGAGAGTCTCTAGTGGCTGCTCAGCACTGTGTGTAGCAACTTGGCAAAGGTTAACAATAAATAAAGAACTCACATTATTTTCAATTATTTGAAAAAAAAAAGTAGAACGGTTGATGATGTAAGCATGACTCTGCTGTTTTTATTTCATTACTGCACAGCTGCACCTTCTAACAGACTGTTTAACTCAATGTAACTTACTGATATTGCGGACAATTTTCAAACAAGTTTCCCCAAAACCATCCCCTCCACCCCCAAAAATCCCTGTGACGTACAACTATGATGCAGAATGGACTGGTCCTGGATAGATACACAGTATTAAATTAGATTAGAACAGCGGTTCCCCAACTGAGAAGACTTGGACAAGAAGAATGGACAGGAAAACCTAGTATTTGTACTGAAAGTGTTTGGACAGGTTGAGGAACATAAAGGATAGCAAAGTTGTTATGTCCAAAACATGTACAGAAAGTGTGTGCAACTTCTCTTGGTTAGTTTCTATAGGACATTTGAAAAAATGTACAGTTTGGATGTACACCTGTATTGAATATATAAATTCAATAAAATTTGCAAATTAAAAAAAAAAGAGAACAGTGGTCCCCAACACTGGTCCTTGAGGAACACCATCCTGCATGTTTTAGTTGTTTTCTGGTTTTGGCATGCCTGATTGGAATGAACGAGTGATTAACAGGCTTCTGCAGAACTTGATGAAGTAATTAAATCACAGAATCTGGTGTGTTGGAGCAAGAAACAACTAAAACATGCAGGATGGTGTTCCTCAAGGACCAGGGTTGGGAACCACTGGATTAGAAGGATGTAGCTGATCAGTAGAGTTATGTCTTATATGTAAATTTATTCAACATTTTAAGTAAAAAAGTCCACTCATAGTATCCAAAGTATTAGAAAATTGCTGACTCCAGAACAAGTTTTGCTCACAGAGATGAACCAGCAACATAAACTAAGAAAAGCTTAATAAACAAACCATAATTAACAGACTCCATTCTCTTGTAAGAAATATAATTATCTTATCTGTCAATTTTCTTCCAACCTAGACAGACATCTCCATGACCCTGCAGCTCCTCCAGGGGGATCTCCAGACATTCCCAGGCCAGAGAGGAAATAATACCTTCAGCTATGTCTGGGTTTGCCTGGTCTTCTCCCTGTGAGATGTGCCTGGACAACTTACAGAAGGAAACATCCAGGAAGCATCCTAATCAGCTTCCTGAACCTTCTCAACTGGTTCCTTTTAATGTGAGGGAGTAGCTCTCCTCCGAGCCCCTTCCAATTGACTGAACCTTTTCTTTTATCTCCAAGGCTGAGCCCGGATACCCTACAGAGGAAGCTCATTTCACCTGTATCCAGGATCTGTCTTTTGGTCATTAAGCAAACCTCATGATCAAAGACTAGGGATGGACCAGAGACCAGTAAATCATGATATTTTCTCCATGCTGCCGAAATGCATGGACAAGACTCCCAGACATTTGAACTCCACCACTTGAGGCTAAAACTCATCCTCAATCAGGAAAGAACATTCCACCTTTTCTCGATTGAGAACTATTCCCTCACACTTGGCAGAGCTGTCTTTCATCCCTGCTGTGACTGAGTATAATGATGTTACGGCAAGTTATGGTAGCACGCTGTGATATTAATACTGCAGAATGTTTCACATCTAATTTTTACAATATAGCTGTTGAACATTTGTGGATTTATTATTTATCATTTTGTGCCATTTGAATTTCAGTATTAAACTAATATGTGTTTCTGGTGGCTTTCCGCAAACCAAACTGTCCAAGTGTCTGTAGTGAGAAACCTTCACACGTTGATGGAAAAAGTATGAAACTATAAAAGAAAGATATATTTTGAATGGAGCGAATAACATACCAACTTGTCCAATCTATTTCTCAGCCTTCTTACCCTTCAGTGAGTCTGTTTCAATTGTCAAATATATATATATATACTTTAAATGCATTTTTTAAAACAAATTCCTTTCTTTCGGATAAAGGTGATGCTATATGAAAGCCTTGAATATAACCTTATCGCTTTTATGTCACAATATTTGTCTAATCTTGCTTAAACCTTGAGCCTTTTCTCGTTTAATGAGGTTTCTTGAAATGTCAAACAAATTAGTTCTGCCTTGAGATATTTTTAGGATTGTTTTTTCAGACCGCATAGACAGGCGAGAAGGTGTTGCAGCAACATTTACATGATTTTCTGAGGAATGCAATAATAACTGCATCTCTTTGTGTACACAGTTTTTGTCTCCTTCGATAAGTGTCTAAGTATGACAGTTCCTGAAGATTCAAAGTTTTCTAACATATTTTTAAAAAAAATTCAACCATGTGCTATTTAGTTTAGAGTATCGTACATCAGAGAATCAGAGTTTCTTTATTTGTCATTCGCACCACATGTACAAAATTATGTACACAGGGTCCCAATTACATTCAACAATAAAATGTAATAAGAAAAAACAGTAATAAGATTTAAGATATGAACTAAGAAAAACATTAACTAAAAATACTCTAAACACTAATAGCATGAAAAAAATATGCAGAATGCCTAACTTGCAAGGACTCCTAAACAATCTGATCACGATGCATTTCAGGCTTTCCTGACGACCCCACCCAAAAAAAAACTTATTCAACAAGCAGCTAGCACCAGCAGCCAAAGAATCACTCAGGTATCTACAATTTTCATGTATCCCAACATTTAGACGTTGAGCAGTGATGCCATTAAGCTCTAAAGAACCCATAAGTACAAGAGGTGCACTGATGTCCTCCATCGTTGAGGGATTTTAATATTTCAATAGTAAATGTTTGTAGTTTTTGAGACTGGCGATTTTCAGGACTGGACTTGAACAGGGAATATAAGCAAACATTACTGTTTTTGGTGCACGATATTCAAGTAGGTAGGAGTTGCACTGTGTATAAGAAGAGAGGTAGTTTTTTGTGCATGTTCAAGGCAGTATAGAGTGACAGATGCTGCTGATTTGAAGAAGCAGTTGTATCCATGACCAATCACTTGAACAAACTAAGCTTTTATATATAAAAAGAAGAAAAAAGAAGAAAGTGCTATGTATTGTCATCATTGTATGTTCCCATAGAATGGCAACATTAGTTCTCTGCATTTAACCCATCACACGTGGGATACACCCAGGTGGAGCAGTGGGCAGCTATGCAAGCGCCCGGGGAGCAATTAGTTGTCTTGCTAAGGGACACTACGACATGTGGGAATGGCCGGGAGTCAAACCGTGACCTTCTGGTTCCAAGTCGGCTGCCCTACCTCTACCTCATACATAAAAACTAGAAAGCATAGTTTCGTTAAAATGATAGGTGTGGTCGGTTTTACATATGGCAGTGGCCATCTTGGATTTTGAAGTAGCCCGCAGTTTTTTATAGTGGCCTGTCTCACGCCTATGCAGCCACACACCAGCTTTACTCACTCAGCAGTTATCCAGCTTAGAAAATGTACATGTATACATTTAAGGTGTCAGCTATCTTGGGTTTTGATGTGGCAATACAGTTTTCCAAAGGAAACTTTCTTACGATATGTCTAGATGTAGCCACACACCAAAATGGAAGTCAGTTCTTCATTTATTTTTCAGGTTATCATCACAACATGCACAATGGACAGACGGCGGGTATTTCCAATTCCCTTTCTTTGCTCCATGGAGGGGGACAATGAACCTGACTGCCTTTCATGGAGCTGTTATGCAAAAGAACGATAAACTGTTGGTTCTTCAGCAGATGGTTACCTTACTCTGACCTCCATCCTACGTCCCTAAACTCCTTTTAATCCAAGCTTCCAGTGTTGCTAACAAACATCACCTAAAGCGAACCAGCTAATCCACCAGGTTTTCTTCTAGTCTGCGTGTTGGAGCCAGACAAGAAAATGAGGTGACCCAAAATCTGGGTTCCATCATTGTCTTGCTCCGATGGGCTTTCATGATCTCCTGTAACTTGAAAGGGGTTTAACTTAAGATTAATTTAAGTAACCGAAAACAGGTGCATAATAATGTTTTCTACTCTATGGTGGAACAACCCAGGCAAGCCTTGCAATTAAGGTTACCAGATTATTTGGACATGTTATCCAACCTACTCATTCTTCAATAACACTATGATGCTTTACACCAAATGTCCCTCAAAATATGAGAAATTTTCTTGCTGCTGACTCAGTCATGACTGGTTCACAAGGACCACGCAGCACAGAACTTGGCTAATTGATTTTTTAAAACAACTTTGTAAAAGCACTAGAAGAAGTAAGAGCTCCTCAGTGAGCAAACCTCTTTAGAGAACACAAGTTCATCACTGGATTTAATTGATGCCAATTATTGCTTTGCATTGATGCTGCCATCCTGGCGTATTTTGCTCTCATCACTGGGGACCACTTCTGAAAACTAAATCTAATCACAGCAAAAAGCTTTTTGTTTGACTATGCAAAGTTGCTGCTTTTAAAAAGAAACAGCGGCCAACTGTGTTGAAATAACTCCTGTAGGTGCAGTAATCCTCTGTTCAGCCTTAGCAGATGCGCCGCAAATAACAGATTGCTGGTGTGAACAACACTCAGGTTCTGAAACATTTCAGATTTTTAACAACACTTTTCTCAATGTTTAGGCCTCACTTGGCAGTTTCACAGCCGAGGGGCCCCGGAAAGGTCTTGGAGCCGAGATTGGAGTTAGCTGGAAGTGGTTGACACAGCGCAGATGACGGTGGCAAACCGTACGCGAGGGTCAGCGAGCAGCTGTTGTCATGATGTTGACCAGACAGGCGAATGGCACTGGCGACAGCTGTGTCTCGCTTCATCTGGCTGCCAAAATCGCTGTCACACTAATGCATGTGCATACACACGCGAGAAAAGATACTCACATACAGACATGCACCTGAACCTACAATTATACTAAAAGCCATCAGACTGGGATTCCAACTGACAGCCACAGCCATTATCCCCGATTTTATTCATACTATCAGGTAATAACATACTTATAGGTTTTTAAAGAGTGAATGGAAAACGTCTTACAAAGAACCTGAAGTTAACAACAAAACAAGTAATCTTGTTAAACCTAAATATATTAAATTTACAACAAACAGTTTTGGAAACTAAGAAGGCTTATTTTCATGACATTAGCTTGAGATAATAAGCTAATTATCTCATTAACTTGTGATAATAAAGCTCATTTTGTTATGATATTGGTTTAGTTATGTGCTTATCTTGAGATAGCGAAGTCACTTTTCTCAAGAAAGTTTCTTAGTTATTTAATTTAGAAAATTTGCTTGATCATAAGAACTAAAAATTATTTCGAAATAAATATAAAACAAAAACAGTATTCCATGATGAACTGCATTTTGCATGTCAAAGTTTTAAACAACGATTTTGTGCAATCTGTTAGCTAAAGATCTGGACTACACCTACCGTACATTTCGCTGTATAAGTCACAGTTTTTGCATAAATTAGCATGCCCTACGACTTATACAGCGAAGTTACTTGTTTATGTTTTTTTCTCCCATATTTATAACCCAATTATTGGCTGACGTCTGACGATTTCATTCATTCTGACATGGAAAATATTGAACACTTGAGTAATATGGCAAGCCAAGTGGCTCATTAATAGGTAAAAGTGACTATTAATGAGACACTTGGCTTGCCATACCAAGTCACCGTCATCTCGCTCCGGAACTCCTCGAGCAAACATCAAATCAGCTGCATTTTGCCGCACTGCCCAGGCGAAATGCAGCTGATTTGACCATTTAAGTGCATTTATTAAGGAAAATTTAAACTGAGACACACCTTTAATATAATGCCGAGCAAACAAAAAATTGTTTTAAGTGTTAATCTTGTTCAAGTCCTCCTGTGCACGCTCTCGCGGCCGCCATTTGGCAGCTAATCGATTTTTGGCACAACACCGGCCCACATTTCGATGGCACATAACAAACACGATGCGTCAGCGGTGACACACAATAAATGCGACCTATATGGCGAAGAGACATATTTATGTTTTTTTCCCACTTTATTAAACATATTTGGAATGATGCGACTTATACGGCGACAAGTACGGTAATTCTGGTTCTGTTCATGTAAAAATTACAGAGTTGCAGCTTTCTTAATGTTTAAGCAATAAGAAGCATTTTTTCCTATTATATTAGTTCTTAAAAATTGTTTTGTCTCTTCAGAGTTGCATGGATACAGAAGACACTTCCACACAAGTCCACAATTTGTTTGTAAGCACTTAGAGAGCAATAATAAAAGCCGCCACTCATCTCGGTTGTTAAATTAGTTAGACTTCACCGTTTATAAATCTATCTTTCATTTGCCTGTGACGTCCACCGAGGCCCTCATTACGTTGTGCGCTTTGTTAATTGGACTGCTGCGAGTAAAGAATTGATCTGCTCCTGATATGCGAAGAGGTGGACACGAGAAAATGAGGAGCACGACTGGCCGGACTTTGATTTTTGGTGGCTTTTCTCATTAGTGTCGACATGTCTGCAACCTTGACAACCTTGAGTTGGTCGCGTGGCTCAGAATACAAAGTCAGAGCTCAGCGAGGGCTTCAGGTGATTCTAACAAAAAAAAAAACAACTCTTGGTCATGGAGTAATTATCCTCCTTTCAAAACCACTGGCAGCACTGCAGGAGAGCTCATCAACACAGAGGGAAGCAGGGGTCTGGACCGGGCAAGCGCTCTGGAATACACACAACGTGCTTCATACTCGGGTGCGTAAATCTGACAGAACACTGGCATGAAAAGCAGAAGTGATTATCTGGGATAATCAAGCATTCATTCTCCTCCTGTTGAAGCAAAAGGCAGTGTATGATAATGAGGGGTGTGGAGGTGCGACTGTAGCCGGCTCATAATCCACAGAAATGCTACACGGTCACTCCTCCCAAAAAAAAAAATAAAATAAAATGAGCCCTGGATGCAGCGGACACATATTCTGGGAGGATTTACAACTCAGCCGCGGCGCTGCTTGTTTTATGACTCGTACGATAAGAGGAGATATTAGACTTTATGTGTGGCACTTCGTTGTGAAAAAGCCTTTTCTTCTTGAATGAGTCGCTTTATGTCAAAGTCACTAAGGTGTTCAATCAGTGCTGAATTTAAACCGAGATAAATTAAAAGCAATCACTATGAAACGGGCTGAGTTTTAAATATGTATGACCAAAGCACTTTATACCTAACTGGTTCTCCTTGTTTATCACAGTGAGATCAGGATGCCTGGTGAGCACGTGTAAGCGTGAGGACGTGCAAGTGATTTAGTTGCTGCATTTATGCACAAGTGTTGTTCTTGAGTGCCTCCAGTGCGTCAGTAAATTTTCTTTTGAGTACGCCGCTGAAGCCCACTGATACACTCGAGCTGGGAGACTTTATCTCCCTCTTACACTCGGCAGTGTCTGGACCCAGCCATTCTCGCATGATTGACAGAGCTCGATCTTGGACAGGCAGGATTAAACCTATCAATCACATAAAGCTTAGAGACAAAAAAAAAAAAAAAAAAGGAGGGGAGTATAAAAAAAATCCAGGCAGTAAATTCAATTGAGAGCACCGGGAGAAAATTGAGGTGAAGAAATATAGAAGGCCATTACCGGGCTATAGGGCTGTTGGAAAGGGAGGCCTTGCAAGATTTAGCTCCGGACGAGTCCATAAATTCATATCAAACGACTGAGGGAGTGAAATATCAGAGAGGTTACTGTAAACCCTGCTGCCTCTTGCCTTTGTGATCTTATAGTGGAGCTGCGTTCACTCAAGGACAGCCTTTAAAGGAGAAGTATTAAAGTCCTGTGGATAACAAATCAAACTAAAAAGCTTGTGTTTTCAGTAAGCCATTAGAGGATATTTTCAAAAAAAAAAAAAAAAAATCATGCTGCATTTCCAGTTTATCTCTTCTCCTGCATGGAGGTCATACGGATGGAAAAGAGCTCAGCTTGTTGTGCCATTTTCACTCAAGTGCATCCGTTTGTGTTTCTTTCTGCTTTGGAACAAATACTCACGTTTTATGGTGAGTTCTCCATAATTGGACACTCCAACTCCTTTGTCCGAGTGGACAATGCAGCGGTAGCGGCCCGAGTCGCCCTTGGTTGTGTTCTCCACGTCGAAAGTGCCTATGAAGCGACGGTTGTTCCAAGGTTTAGTGGTTTTCATCGGGGCCTCCCGTCCACCGATGCCCTGTTTGGAACAAACGGGAAAGCTTCGATAAGAAAAATGGCCCGACCTTGTGGGTTTTTAGAAACTCTGGTACTTTTTGTCTGCTCTTCTGACTGTTTGCATGTGTCCTACGGTTCCCATCGGTCACTGATTGTAAGAACGCATTTATCACACAGGAATGCACACACACACTTGCACATACACACTGTGGGCTCTCCCCAGCTGTCACCCCTCGCAGCAGGCAGATGGGGGACATTTGTTCATTAGAAATATTTCTTCATTACTGTCATCGGGGGACTTCACTTAATGTTTGTTTTCCAGCTCCTGTGCTAATGAGGATGTGTTTGTTAAAATGATGGAGTACCTGGCAGAAGACCTTTACCCGGCGTCACGCTCGCACTGATCACATGTGTGACAGCGTGCTTAGCAGCCGAGCCAGCAGGGTTATGTTGCCAGATGCACTACCTTCGCTGCTCAGAACAAGGTCAATTCAAGACTGCTGCGCAGCTCTGTGCTGCCGGATATAGTGTGCAGGATCCACACGGAGCCAGCATCTATTTAGGTTAAGACTGTGCTGCTGTGATCAGAAACAACCATAATCCCCTTCCTCTCCACTGCATGGGTCTGTAGGAAGCTGGTGAACAGGTAAAATTCTCACTATAGTGGTTCCCACCCTTAGATGTGAGCTTGTATTTTTAATAGCTTGAAACACAACCAACGTGTCAGAAGATGTGTAAAAAAATACTTTGCTATATGTTTGACATTTTGTCTCTTAATGCATAGCTTTAATATCCTGATAACACACTTTTGAGGTTAATTGCATTACATTTTAGTTCAAGACAGGTTCATATACGATTTAATCCAAAGTACTATTTCAACAAAAGGATTCAAACGGTCATGATTTAAAGTAGATACAGTGCTAACATACAGTATGCTCTATTTGCTTTTTCCCCATTTGCTGAAAAGTTGCATTTTTGGACATGAAAGGTGTACCCCAGGAGTCCAGGACTGAAGTTTTGACTACCGTATTTTTCATCCTATAAGTCGCAGTATTTTGCATAATTTGCATGCCCTGTGACGTATTTATGGACTTTTTCCCATAATTATGAATCAATTTTGGGCTGAGATATGACCGTTTTCATTAATTCTGACGGTGACGCAACTGGTAGAGCTGCTGCCTCTCAACGAGCAGGTCCCTAGTTCAAATCCCGGTGCGGGGGCCTTTCTGGGTGGAGTTTGCATGCTCTCTCTGTGCATGCGTGGGTTTTCTCCGGGTACTCCGGTTTCCTCCCACACAAAAACATGCCTGTTAGGCTGACTGGTAACTCTAAATGGTCCCTAGGTGTGAGTGACAGAGTGAATGGTTGTTTGTCTCTATGTGTCTCTGTGATGGACTTGCGACCTGTCCAGGGTGTACCCCGCCACTTGTTGCACAGTGATTGCTGGATATGGGCACCGGCGACCCCCGTGATCCAAAATGGAAGAAGCGGGTAAAAGATAATGGAGCAATGAAAATATTTAACACTACCATTTTAAGCCACTAGATGGCAGTTGAGTAGTATGACATGCTGTTGTGTCATATAATAGGTAAAAGGGGCTATTTGTGATACAATCGGCTTGCCGTATTCTGCCACCATCGTCTGCCTGGAGCAACCGTCAAATCGGCTTCATGTGCCACCCCGGCGAAATGCAGCTAATTTGACCATCGAAGTGTATTTTTTTAATAAAAGTTCAACTGAGACACACATTTACCATAAAGTCGAGCAAACAAACAATTGTTTTAGGTGCTTATCTTGTTAAATTTTGAAGAAATGCACAGCGAGTCGTCCCTCTGCGCGTTCATGTTTCCATGTATCTGCTTTTGAAAATGAGGCTGATTGGAACCCATTAATGCAGCTGATTGTCAAAGTGCATTTATTAAAGAAAAGTTACAGAGACACACCTTTGCTATAATGTTGAGCAAACAAATAATTGTTTTTAAGTGCATCTTGTTAAATTCTTGTTAAAGTTCTCCCGTGCACGCCCCCACAGCAGCCATTTGGCACAACACTGGCCCACATTTCCGGATTGTCAGCGGTGACGCGTAACAAACGCGACGTGTCAGCGGTGATGCATAATAGATGCAACGTATACAGCAAAGTGATGTATTTATGGATTTGTCCAATTTATTAGACATATTTGGACTGATGCGACTTATAGGGCGGAGCAACGTGCACAGCAGAAAATACAGTAAATGTATTAAAAATACTTGCAAGGAGAGAAAGAGGCTGTCACATCAAAATGAACGTCACCCTCCAAAATCCAACAAAGTGTCGTCTTTACAATGACACGTGCAAAAAACTACCAATCAGCACGGAAACACAAACATTTATAGATTCCTGCATCCAAGAAGGAGGACGTTCTCCCCCATCAGTTTCTACTGTACTTTACAACCAGCTGGCTGACACACTTATAGTTTTGGTTTCTTGGCTGAAAAGTAGCTTTTTATTTAATTAATGGAAATGTAAAGGAAAATTAAGACAAAATACAATGACAGTGGTGTTTTTCTAGCACCTGTAGACTTAAAAAGTTTAAATTATGGTAGTAGTAAAACACAATGACAACAGGAAAAATGGGACATAGGATACAATATACACAATTCTATCCAAAGGTATCTGTCTGGCAGCAATAGCATTTTAAAAAGTCAGTAAAACATTTTAAAATCTCAAGAGTCCACTTATAATCCAATTTTTTTATAATCTGCTACAGTCTTTGAAGAAAACTGGGAGCAAAAAAAGAGAAACCGACTCACCTGGAGCCACAAACGAAAGTTGTCTCTCTTGCGTCCGTTGACAGTACAATGAAAAGATGCCGTCTGCCCAGCGTTGACCTCCACTCCCTTTATAGTCAGAAAGTGTGGCGTATTCACTACAGAAAAGGCAGATGTTCATATAATGAGGTTACATGCTGAGAGGAGAAGTGAACCTAAGAAGAGTTGAGACTTTATCAGATCTAATTGCCATAATTGGTTGTTTGAGTCTCCATGTCATGCCTATATCAAGACTAAGATTTTATAGTTTTGTTTCCCTGAATGCAAACGTTACCCACTTTGAAATGATCCAACTTGAATCTGTAAAACCAGGGATCTTGGAAGTCTAATCTCGAAGGCTCAAAATGCTGAAAGCCGCCAGCACATTGTAAAAAACATTCCATAATAAAACCCCATTAAAATAAGATACTAAAGCTATGCAGCCCTGGCTTCTTTTCATCTTGTATTTACATCCGTTCTGTGACTTGGAACATTTCTCAATAAGCATTATTCTTTTCAATTTGAGCTCAGCATCAGTCAGTTCACAAATTGGGATAGTTCACAAAAAAGTAACTTATTTAGAACATTTTTGATTAGCACCGCTATTCTGCAAAGAAAAATAGGGCAATTCAGTGGAGCGACCTTGATTCAAAACATAACAAATCCCCGAAGACTTGGCAAAAGCTAATTCTATCACTTTCATCATCAACACTTTCACTTCTACTTAATATTTTATAACCTTCCTGTTGAACTACACTTTCTTTTTAGCTCTGCCTCGTCAATCCATTTTGTACCAAAACGTCAAATCTATGTCCTCTTTAACGCCGGGAGGAGACGGGGACCACCCAGTGGCATAATTACACCTCCGAGCTGGATATCTGATGCGATCAGATGAACAGAAAAGGAATTGGCCGTGCTTCACTGACAAGTCGCTCTCATCACTTCGCTTATCACTCAAAGAAGCCCGATTGCAATTGAGTAAGATCATTGATCTGCTCACACGTACGCATTTGAACGCCGGCCACGTCGCAAGGTCTCATCGATTTGCTGGATTGCATTTATGTGCCGCGCACATCGACATGAATCCATCTTATTGACACAACATTTGTAGGAATTCAGCTGCTTTCAAATGGTTAGCAGGTCATTAGTGGCTCCCTAAATGAAGGCTGATACTTCAGCTACGATGGGGAGAGTAAAGCATGAATGAATTGACGAGAATCATTGAGGTATTGATTTAAACTTAAGAACGTGAAAACCTCTCCGTATTAACGTGAACACAACTAGCGAGACTTTTTGGACTGAAAAGAAAAGAGGTGATGAGATCCTTTACTGATTTAAGGCATATCGTTCACTGAAGGAATGCACATCCAGTTTTAGCTCTGTATGTAGAACTGACTGAGTTATGGACATTTTTGCCAATATGCTGGAAGTGACTCTCAGCTTCAACTACAGCAGTCTGAGCACATTTGTAAAAATAACTAAATTAAAGCATTTTTTTTTTTTTGTGTTTATTTTTTAAAGTCAGTTAGCTGTAGCATCTCTTCATTTGGGTTGGCTCCACTGGTTAATCAGCTGAATCAGTTGCGTTGGGGATTGGTCTCAGCTACTAATTCAGTAGTCCTTTGTTTATCGCGGAGTTTAATTCAATTTCAATTCAGTTTATTTATATAGCGCCATATCACAACAAATTTGTCTCAGGGCACTTTACAGGAACGTTCACATCCATAAAAACGCCAATTAGTAAAGTTCTCTATCTAAGGATGCCAGCAGACATGTTGAATCTTCACTTGATCGCAGTCTCCCATCCTGAGCTAGCACAATGGCAACAGTGGAAAGGAAAAACTTCCTTTTAACAGGAAGAAACCTCCAGCAGAACCAGGCGCAGGACAAGCGGCCGTCTGCTTTGACCAGTTGGTTTAGGGGACCACGCCCCCACGATGAGTGAAAACCACAAGAGATACAGTAGTCCATGTTCAAGTTCCACTCCCAATCTCCCTCCTGTAAATAGACAATTTAAATACTGTAATATTTTAAATAAACAATCCATATTTAAAATATTGCAGTATTTAAATTTAAATTGTAGAGAAATGACGCAGCAGGACAGCAAAGGGTTAACCCTTCACACAGCTGATGCAGCACGGAGCAGAAATGTACTTCTTGATCAATTACACTGTAACAACTGAACATAGAAGTTCTAAAATAATGAAAAAAAATAACTTTTAACACTTTTATATTATGCAATTATGACGATTTTACGATGTGACATACTTTGAATTTTAAGTTGGAAGACAAAAGTCGATCGGTGCAGCTGGACAGCAAAGGGTTAACCCTTCATGAAGCCCCTGCAGCTGGAGGAGAAATGTGGGCGTGGCAAAGAGCCGCAGGTGGCAGAGAGCGGAGATCATGACAGGCTGCAGCAGGAGCTTCTCCCTGCACCAAATGATTTAGCAGGTGCTAAATCATATAAATATTTTATTTTAAATAAAGAATCCATGCCGCTCGTATGACTCATCCATCAATCAGCCGATTGTGTGTCACGTCCACTCTTACTACGAAAAACTGCAAAAGTCAAACCGTGAAGTAGTGAGCCCTACTGTACACCAAATCTTTGGAAAATGTCTGTAAAATCTACATTATAACCATGTTTATGTTTTTGAAGGTCAGTTGGCCGTGGAGGCCATCTTGCATCAGACTGTCTCCAAATGTTAATCAGTGGAAAATGTACATCCAAGGATTACTTTCTGGAAATGTCTTTATAATCTATCTAGCGATTCAGACGATATTTTGCCAACAAAGAAACACAAACAGGACCAAAAGTTTATCTCCTGACTTTTTTTATTTCAGTGATAAAAATATTAACATTAAAAGGAAGGAGAAAATAGAGAGCAACACGTTGCATGGTGGGATTTATTCGTTTTGGGGACTATTTGTTTACAGCCAATCCAACAATATATCATATACACACTTCTGCATGTCAGCTATTGGCTTATAAATCTTAAGGGACGACTGAGAGTAGCAAATTCTCTGAAGGCCTTTTTTTTTGACTGGGAGGCCTTGAACACAACAGTGGTACACGTATTTTGACGGGTGTCATGGAAAGGACAATGTCGGTTTGATGATATTCTTTTATAGCAAAGGGAAAATAGACTTACTGCACTGGTGGCCTTGGACCACAACGTCTTTGATGGCCAGCAAGCCACGCTGCCCCGAGGTTATGACTTCAAACACAATCTGAGGAGGAGAAAGGAAACTCATAACACCGGTGATGAACGGGCACGTGTCTTCAAAAGGCACCTGAGCGCAGATGGGTGCAAGTCCAGCGCTTGCTAACACTCCGTGTTCCTTCACAGGGCTGCAGCTGGTGACACAGCTGCAGGCCACAGACATTATTCCTACAATGTGTCACAGCTGACAGGTGTTATGACATGCACGTGTTAAATTAGGTTGGAGCCCAGTGATGATTAGCACACAGTTCCTGATAAAGTACGAGAGGCAACGAGAAAAGATCAAGAAAGTTCTCGCGTCTCTTTAGCAAACCATTTGATTTCTGCTTGTTTTGCATGAAATTTTGACTTTTTAAAGAAAAACTGCGGCAAAACAATGCTTTTATCAAAATGTATGCTGGAAACCCTTTTCAGATCGATCAGTGTTTACCATAAAGTTACATCAGAATTTGCAAAATCAATAACCAACTATCTTAAGGTTTTACATTGTACTGACTCCTTTGAGTTTTGTCATTTTAATAATTTAAATGAATGTAAAAAACAACATATTGTTGCATTCCCAGTTCCATTGGCGACATTATGTAAAATGCAAACAAAAACCAAAGGCAATAATTGTAAATCTCAAGTTTAGATCAATAAACTCTCCGAATAAACTATTAGACCTCAAATTTTTCTACGTTAAATTTAAAAAGCTATTAAATCGCTAAAGGATCTAACACTTTAAACTCACATCTTGTCTGTTTTATATAAAAATAACTCATGTCGCCTTTCTCTGAGTCTCGAGTTATTTAGCGGTTCTGCCTCCTGCTCCCTTTGAAAAGATAATCTTTTTTTTTTTTAAAGTGCAACTGTGCTGTGCGTGACTAAATTTGACCCTATTTTAAGGGCCAAGTTCAGTAGCAAAACAAATGTTCCTGAGAGAGGGAGTGTCCTCAGAGAATGTCAGAGTTATGTTCTCCTCGGTCTGCAGTGTGATAAAAAAGGAAACAGAATGCCGGTCCCTTCCCAAACCCAGGGTGTGGTGCGGAGACCAATTACACCACACGCGCTGCAGCAACACATGTTTTGAATGCCATTATTCTCGAAATATAAACTTGTAGCATCCATCGCCTTCTATATATTAATGGTTATGACCAATTTAGAGTTCACACACAAACATATGTCCTGCTGGACCCACACTGGGATTCTTTTAGCAGCTCAGGAATGTGAAGGCAGAGATAGTTGCCATTGTCATCTGGGAGACGAGACGTCTTCACATTTCTAATTATAAATTTCTTTTTTTTTTTTGTCCCCCTGAAGTATGAAAGTGAAGGCTTGGGTGCAAATTATGGCCTCATTAAGGGCTAATTTGAAGGAAATTAAAAGGCCAACCACTCTATATTGCCACCAGACAAATGAACTGGCCCCCGCACTCTAATTGAAATCCTTTGTTTGTGCAACAGACATCAGTCAGCCTGCCTAATAGCTGTGATATAATTGATTCCAGCATCAATAATAGTGCAGCGCATAATTGGGTCTGACCCGCACTGAAAATATTCACAAGGGGGCAAAGCTGTTGATGTCGCTGGAAAGTTCATCGTTCTCATTTGTCAGAGAGCCGGACAGTAAACCCAGCGTTTAGTGTCTCCCTCACGGTCCCTTTGGGACGGCATTACAGGAGGACTGATTAATTCAGTCATGAACTACTTCTGTATTAAACTTGATACAGATTAGCACATTTTATAGACATTGTTGAGTGTTCTAAATCATATGTGCTCATTATCATAAAATTCCTGTTTTTTTTTTTTTTGTTCTACCAAATGTTCAGCAGCTTTGGAATCATATGACAATCTCTATAAAATGTCTATGGATAGCCTGACAGAGGAGTAATTATCAAAGGCACAAAAGGCTGGAATGATGCCTAAAAACCTTACCAGTAATTAAAAAATAATTTCCATGTATCAGGTGGCTTCCCTTTGACAATTTCCTAGGTTGCTATGCAATTAAAGATACCTATAATTAGTGCCATGTTGTTAATTAGCAACAATTTTAAGCATTGGTGTCCTTTCTTGACAGAATGTTGCTAAGATCATTAGCATCCTCACAATTACCCATGATGTCGATTGGGGTGTGCAACAATTACAAACGAAAGCAGATCTTCCACTTGGGGTTTGAAAGGCAGCAGATGTTGCAAATTCTCCTGAACATGCAGTCAAACATAGCTGGTCTATAAACAACTTGAACTACGTGCGTACAGATTTGTTAAAACATAATTCAACTTGTGGAAAATTTCACGAGTTGTTAATTGGATTGGTTTGTCAGATTAAAACCATGAGCTGAGGTCTAAACATCTGCGAAGGTTGAGCAAAATGTTTTGAAAACGTAAGTGAGATGGCAACACAACTTAAAGTTGCTTTATGTGTGACTGAGGGGAACTACTTGTAAGTCAAATTTGTAAATTTACAAATTTACAGTTGCAGCGTTACTCAATTCATAGTGTTTGTGTCCAAGCAAACCATAGAGTATTGTGCCCACCATTATGAGCAGGTATTAAAAAAAAAAATCATGGCCTATTTTGGCGTGTACTTCTCACAAAACTATATTCTAGACTGTGCACAGTATTTTGTTGACCCTCTATGCCCACATTGTTCGGCCCACTTTGTATCCATCTTGTAAAGATCTCCTCACATTTATGATTTTAATCTACTGTAAAATGAATGAGCATAACAAGATCATCAGCATATTTTTAGACCTGGACAATTGTGGCTGTGGTTCCAGATGTTTTCTGTCAATTGGAAGCTCTGTGCAGGTGTTGAAATACATCTCTAGCCCTCAGAAATTTATGGAAAATGGATTGAGGAGGGCAGCATGGTGGCACAGTTCGTAGAGTTGCTGCTGAAGGTTGCCAGATGGAATCCCGGCCGGGGGAAGGTGGGGGGAGTATTCTGGGTGGAGTTTGCATGTTCTCTCAGTGCATGCATGGGTTTTCTCCAGTTTCTTCCCATATACCAAAAACAATGCATGTTAGGCTAATTGGCAACTGAATTATCCCTAGGTGTGTGGGTGAATGGTTGTTTATCTTTATGTGTCCCTGTGATGGACTGGAGACCTGTCCAGGGTGTCCCCCGCCTCTCGCACAGTGACTGCTGGACATGGGCACCAGTGACCCCCGCGACTCAGAAAGGAAGAAGCGGGTTAAGATAATGGATGTATGTATGGATGTATGGATGCATGTATGCAAGTATGTATGTATGTGTGTATGTATTTATGTATGTATGTATGTATGGATATGGATGGATTGAGGAGCTTTAAGATTATTTTGAGACACCTGCAGTGGCTGACTGTTTTAAGAAAAATAATTTTTGAACTAACCTAAATTCAAACTACAAGCATCTGCAAAATTGAGAACCCCAGACATTCGGAGACATTTTTAAAACTCCCTTGCAAATGATGTTTGGCAACGAGTCACCAACCACAGCATGCCAGTGAGATAATAGCTTTAGCCACATATATCCATCTGAATGTATGAATTCAACAACATGCGCTTTACAACACTATTTTGGTTTAACCCATCTAAACCAGCCTGAAACGTTGGACCAGACTGGCTTTATACAATAACACAAGCTCACATCCTGTCAACAGCTAGCATTCATCATTACTGTTACCTTCCATTTCTTTTCCCATTTCCTCCAAGTAACTCTCGTTAAACTTTCTACACCACATTCAGCTGAGAGAATCTCAGTGGTGTCCCTTGTTAACTAAGTTATCAGAGCGACCATGGAGGACAACTCGCCTCAGCCCCACTGTGGACCAGCTCTGCCAGGCCTTAATGAAATAATACACGAGGGGACCTGCTCCCAATGGGAGGTTAAGGGGTCTCTCTGCATCAATTAACATTTGGTGGACTTGTGGAACAAACCATTCGAAGACTAATAGGCAGGCAAGTGTGAAATCACCTTGCCCCAGCCAGCAGTCATGTGCATTGGTAAGTGAAAATGAGTTTTCAGAATTGGAAAAAGAGAAGTGGTTTTAGATTGAAGGGAGCGAGAACAGATCACCATGGATACGGAGGCAGCCACAAAAATCAATAATCCTAGGTGTTTTCTATGGGCTTTTGTGCCATTGTTTAGAGCTTCTCAAATAATAATTTTGTCTTGTTGCAGCCAGCATAAATGCTTTAATGACTTCAGATAAACTATTATTGGCTCTTTCTAACGAGCAGCCTGTTTCTTTAGCGATATCGTACAATAGGATAGCTTAACTGGGCCAATCTTTTATCACCTGGTAGAAGTTGGGCCAATAGGTGCTGATGGCCAGCTCAACCTGCCCCCAGGAGCGGGAGGCTGGACCTGAAACGTTCCACACAGGCATCCCCATGGGACTGTTGTTCTCTTTGATGTAAACATTCAGGTGACCCGGGTGGCTGTTGTCTCTTCCGCCGATGTAGTAATGGAAAATAACGCAGTGCGTGTCGTTCTCCTTCAGCTGAGGTGTCAGCAGTAAAGCCTTCTGCCCCGCAAAGCGTCCCGATGTGTTCACCATCACAAACCCAGGCCCTGGAACATCAGAAAGAAAAGTTGGGATCAGCTGTTAGTTTCAGTCCATCAGGTAAACAGATTTTTAGTAACAGGCTAAAATTTTGTTCAAGTATCTTTATTATCCCCGAGGAGCAATTAGTTTTACATTCAGTTGATATACAACATCCATACTACACAAGACATTAAGACTTTATCAGTACAGAAGTCATCAATGTTCATTGAGAAACCTGATCGCTACAAGGAAAAATGAGTTTTTCGGTCTGTTCGTCCTACATCTGGGCAGCAGATACCTGTGTCCAGATGGAAGCAACCTGAACTCACCATGGAGTGGATGATCAGGATCTGCCAGAATCTGCATGGCCTTGTTCACTGACCTCACCTTGTGTAGGTCAGTGAGGTTCTGTAGGGCTATGCCAGCAGTTTTGCCGCACAGCCTGACCATCCCCAAGAGTTTGAACAATGCCCGAAAGTTTGTGTGGATCTCTTCGTGATGGAAAGCAGGTAAACAAAACATTCATACGGCCAGCAATAAGATCCTTGGGTTAAGCAGTAAACAAATAAAAGTCTAATCTTGTGAAAGTATGAAGGCAGAAACAAATGGCTCTTTTGGGAGTTTTCCTATTACAAATCATAATTTCAGCTTGTGACCTTTGATGAGACAGAGCTATTATCTGCGCTGATTGAAACTATCTCCTTGTTGCCATTTATCAAGTACAAAGACATGTTATACAGTTGAGGGGCTAATGATAGAAAAAGTGGATTCTTGAAAAGAGCATTCTCTCCTAAATGACAAAGAGAAAAGGAAAAGGATGAGAAATCAATAAGCTAAAATCTATTTGCCAAGAAAGCACCATTTAGATTTTTATCATTTAGGTTCCGTATTAAAGGTTAATCTAATTCTCTAGCCTCTCTCCAATAAAACACAAGTGAGAATTATGATGTTGGCCAACTTTCAAGAGGATGGGGAACACATTCTATTTGTCATCATCTTATTTAGCTCGAGTTGGTAATGAGATGGCACAAACCGTAAGAGCGTTTGAAACACAGCCACAGGAGACTCGTTATAAATACTGTATTTTTTTAATATATATTTTTTGTAGTATGCTAAAGATAGAAGGCACAGAAAGGTGGGACAAACAACCTGTACGCAAGGAGCTCGCACTGAAGCTTGTGAGGAGCTGAATTCCTATTTTTGTCATTTAAAGTGCTGCTTTTCTCAGATTTCATCCTAAAAATGAGTGAATACCATCAACTGAATCTGCAGCCTTGGTTGCAGAGTGTGTCAACCAAACCAGCCTCTCAAAGAAGCCTATTTGTTCCATCAATGACTCAAGCTTGCCCACTTGTCTTGTTGTGCTGCTCTCGTAACGCTCACCAATTCCATCTGTCTGGAGCTTCAGATAATGAGTAGGGGATTCTGTCATGTTTACACAATGAAACAAGAGGAGAGGGAGCAGAGGAGGAGGAGGAGGAAGAGCAGTGAGACGAGATGACACAGAGTCGGCCTAATCGGCTTTGTTTGTCAGGTACAGACAGTTGTCATTTTAAATGATTCTCACAGCTTTTGGGTCACCAAGAGGATCACAAATAATGGAGTGGGGGGTGTCATATATCCATGCAGGGTTGTGGTAGAGACGTGATCCTGCCATAGTTCGCATTTGACTGTGAATCATACGTGTAACACGGACCATGTCGGATGTCAAGAAGTCAAAGGTTAACGAGTCTCTAACAGATTTCATAGTTAAGTTTATAAAGATACACTAGACATGATACAGACTTTGACAAATTATAAGCAGGTAAATAATAAACCTGTTTGTTTCTAGTTTTTAGGTAACCCAAGTTTGTAAAACTGGAATGACAGGACTGTCTCACCTCAGTTTGGTCACGTAATGGCAACCGAGGGCCTCTACACACTAGCACAAATAAACTTTCCATACGAATGATCTCTGCTGCTGAGCTCTTTCGAACCACTTTGGCTATGGCTGCCTCAGAGGAGTCGACGGGGGAGAGGGCGAACTCCAGAAACCATCTTATCACCATCACACTGGTTGACCCACTATGCGAGTGTGCTGCTTGTGGGACTGAGTAGGTAAAGATATGGATGGATGGATGGATGGATGGATGTTATAATGAATTAAAAAATAAGTTTTAATTAATATTTTAATGAATTTTATCAATGGATGTAAATCTACAGCTGATTAAGCTTTGAAGTGAATCCAATCCAAGATGGACACCACAGCAAACACAGAAATAGCTCAGACAGGAGGGGTCGATGGGGGAAAGGACATCCCCCAGAAACCATCTTATCACCATCAAACTGGTTGGTCCACTGTAGGAGTGTACTGCTTGGTGGGGAAAACAGTTTGCTTGGGACTCCTCGGATTGATGAAGACCTTCGGATGGAGGGCGAAACGTCTCAACGAAATAAAAAACTGTCCAGATGACCTGACAGAACATTGTTGGATTTTTTTTTAATACTTGGATTACCTGCATGAACTTTGATATAACTCAGACACTTTTATAAAATCTGAGCTAAAATTTGGAGTGACAATGCTAATAGATGAGCAAGGCAACAAGCTATGCACTTCTTTAAGAAATGATACTTTCACTGCATTATGTGCATTCATAAGAAACCACAACAATTGAGCAATTTTACAGGTGTTTAATATCCCATCTGCAAGATTTGCTTCAGCCTTGATGCCTTAAAATTTGGCATGTGTGTTCTGGAAATTTACTGTCAAGAAACATCGTTATTGCTGCAGCTATAACAGTGACTATAATGTCAATGGCGTATTCACATTGTTAAACAAAAACGTTCTGTGATTTAAGAAAAAGATAATTTCAGGCTCACAAGATAAGGGTGAAGGCTAAAATATCTTGAAATAACAATGATCTTTGCTTTTGTTGGTTTTGAAATAAATGTTATTAACCTTTTTGCACGTGCCAACATACAGTAATGTTATTCTAGTGATTGTAAAGACGGGAACTGTGAAATGATTTCTAAAAATCCCATCACCACCAATGTAATTTGAGACAATACGTAAAATTTCCATTCCTATTTTATGTAAATTAAAGCTTTAATAAGGGCTAAAATACGTATGTCCAAGACTAGATTATTTCAAAGGCAGAGCCTTTCCTCTACAATCAAATGGTTAAGTTGAACAATGTAGTTGAAAAACACTACATTAATAAACGACATGGTGCAGCTTTCATCTTTACTTGCTCTAAAGAAAATGAAAGGTAATGAAAAAGACACTGTGAAGCACATTCTTGGAGCTCCTGGAGGCTTTTGAAAGGGATTCAATCAAATCGTTCTCTGCTTTCATTGTCTTTATATTTTAGGGTGTACTTCACCTTCAGTTTGACCTCAGACAGTATATAAAGCTTTAATAGTACACATTATATTTTAAGCCATTCTACAGATATTGTATTTGTGTGGTTACTCTTTATTGAATAATATTTTATGAGTCCCAAAAGATACAAACGTATGTAAATTGAGCATGGCCATAGCTTCTCTTTTTGGCAGGTCATTCGGCTGACCATATGTTTGTTTGTTTTTTGTTGCCATAGAAAGTATTTTTTTTTACAATGGTTTCTTGAGGATGGATTTAACATTATATTCCCACTTTCCACTGATAACTATTCCCCAACATCTGACGTGGACACAGGGTTATCAGACATTATCAAGCAGTGAGGTACTGATGGATGTCTCATAAGGTCCAATATCAACTCTAAAGACTTGAATTGTTCTTCTAACCCCAAAGCATATTCACCTCAACTTCCCATTATTATGCAGGATTGTTGCAATTGGAGGCGAGTCATATGACTCTACAGTTGTCTGTAAGTATCAGAAGTCTGAAGGATGGCTTCATAGAACTGAAGTCATTAGTGAAGAAGAAGATGGGCAGTGGTGAGAGCATACGTCCTTGTGGAACACCAGATCTGATTGGCAGTACTGTGTGTCTGTAGGGATTTTCTACAGCATTTCAGCTGTCTGTACATTTTGTGAGTGTTTTATCTTGTATTAGGGCTTATCCTAAATACTTTATTTGGATTTAGTATGATTTGTATATCCCTTGATAATTTCATGAACATTAATGTTTGATTGCTGTTTGATGTATTTCTGTATTTTCTGTCATGAAAGCTGCGATCATTGTGACATTTTTCTTGTTATGTACAGGCTTTTCTACATGCTACATTAAGATTAATTACTGTGGACAGCATATTCGTGTTCTATACAGTAGTTTTAAATGTTTTATTCCGTCTGTGTGCGTCTGATTCACATGTTAAGGTTAACTATTTCTGAGGCAAAGCATGAAGCAATGTAAGGAAGATGACAAAGGGCAGGAGATGAGTCGACTTTGTGACACGTACTCAAACTTTAATCAGGTAGCTCTATATGAGGGCTCTAAGGTCTCTTTAATAACATCCAGCCATCTGCGCAAACACTCACAGCATTTCCTTTGTTTTCCCCATTGAGGCATCAGCAACTCTTGATGTGATGCGAACCAGCACTAATAATCACTTGATGAATTGTTCAACTGTAGCTCATGTTACAAAGACAAAGACGCCAGCACCACTGCTTTCCTCAAAGATTAAAAACAGGCTGTTTAAAATTCATTTCAGCAGTCATTTTGTGACAATGTTGCTTAGGAGATTTATGCACAGCACGACTTTTTGTTGGTAATTAGAGATGAAAATATTAGATCCCTCAAGTCGCATTTCTTCTTTTATAGTACAGTGCTCATGAAATATTAATAAAACAAAAGGTACAATGAGCATGAAGCAAATTCTTAATAATACCTAATGTAGAAGCCATCAATTTTTAAATTACTTCACAAAAAACACTAATATAAATAGACAATTTCTTCGTTGGCTCTTGAGAAGTTTCTCTGCTGAAGCTGTGCGAATGTAAATCTCTGTCAGCGAATTTGATCCCGACAAATTAACTTGATTTGAGCCAGTGAACCCAAACACAACAAGTGGGAAGAAACTTCTTTCCTCATCCTTGACCTCCA